ACTCCCTTTTGCATGTTTGTCCATTTAAAAATATACTTCTTGCTGTGATCTTTCAAGATTTAAAGCATCTTAAGTTTAGCATCTTACCGCACTATATTTATTTACTCACAGTTCCTGATATAAATGAACAGCACATTCATTAGGATCTATGCAAAAAGGTTTAAAATCTCTGCTTCTTACCAACAACTTTTGCTTGGATTTACAATTGTTAACTTCGATTAGTAATAAAGTACACCTGCTAGCCAGTTAATATGCATCCGTAATATGCTTCTAACAATCAATGCAAATCACTGCTCTTCTACTTTCTTATACACACTGAAAATATTAAATAGTGTAAATGCTGTAGTCTTTGCACTTTCTGTAATTGTATTTCCTGTTCTTAGTATTTGTATTCTGGTTTTATTATCATATTATGACTCCAATAATTATCAAAATATTGAAAAATTGGAATGGGAACACAAACAAATATTCAGATTCTATATGATACTTAAAACTGCTTGCCTCATTATAATAAGCTATCCCTTCCAAGAACACTGATCCAGACTCTTTTGAAGTCTGAGTCATGTCAAAAACAGCTTTGCATCAGGCACTTTTGTTTTTTTAAATGAACTAGATACAGAAATATGAGAAAATGTAATTCTCAAAAATGACGCAAGAAGGGAAGAACAGCAATAATAACAGACATTAACACCAAGTACCTTACAGAAGTCTCATGCCATACCTTATTTTCAATAACAGAAGTGATTCTCCTGCCTGCTTTGTAGGTATAGATGATTATGTTTTCACAGCCATCCATTACTTTGGCCTCTCCTTTATTAACAACAGACTTGCAAATAGCCCTGTTGAGTTGCCAGCTCCCTGCCTCTAGATACATGGCTTTAATTCTGGGTTTGCATTTTTCTGCATAGATGTCAATGACAAAGGGGCATGCCTGCAATGGAGAAAATTAGTTTTATCATCACTTTATCTGTAGTTTTTCCCCTCAGATTTTCATCCACAGCTCCTAAGTATTTTCATATATGCTCTGATGTATGTGCAAGTAATACAAGTATGCCACTGAATATTAAATAGCCAAAACCTGAGAGCTGTGGCAATCTTTTAAACCAAATGAAAGCTCAGGACAAATGAACATTTTTCATGCCAGTCACAGCACACTCAATACACAGTTTGGTGCATTTGGCTCCATTATAGCAAACCCTTCCTTGGATAGCAAAACGTACAGGAATTAAGGTGAAGTATAATGTATTTCAGTGTCTGAAATAAACCTCTCTCCTTTACCTGTCACACTCTTGCTATTTGTGCCTCTTCATACAGATTTAAAGTATCTGCAATGTTGCATTAAGCACTCTGCTTTTACAGTATCTTAGCCAAGATTAGGACATGCAACAACCAGGAGTTTGCATTTTCTTAGACTCGGTAATAGCACCTTGGTTTCTTTCAAATGGCTATTGGAATCCACTAGGATTTCTCAGTTCTGTCTTTCATTTGTTAGGTTCAATGCTCCTGAAATATCAATCTCTTAAATCATCTGAAATCAAGGAATTAAAGGGTTAAGTTATAGAATACAAGTTAAGTAGATATACATTTTAGATGAATAACTAAAGCATTCGTAGAGCTATGTTGTTCTTTGGAAAGCAAAGACTATAGCCAGAAACCACAGCTAGTACAAGGCACAAAATACCTTTTTGAAATTTCTAACTTGATAAAAACCTCCCCAAAATCTTCTTTCTTAGAGGATAGCTCCCTCTTACGTCTGAAATGCAGAAAGACAGTTTTGTAGTTGCTCTGCTAACCATACTGGCAGGAAAAGGAGAAAGTGCTACTCATTAAGAAATCATTCACCACGATCTCAATATTTTCACTGAGAGACAACTGAAGTCTCTCTACCATACTGAGTATTTTTGGTTCTGTATATATTTGTTTCACACACATATATTTTTATATGGTGACTACACTGACCTGATTTAGTTTAACAGAAGTTAAAAGAAATTATATAATCAAACTACAATTAAAAAAAAAAAAAATCAGCTTTTCTTGGGAATGAAAGTTAAATGATGAAATTCTCTGCATATTTAATGGGTTTTTTTAATTTTTCATAATTTCTTTTCTATTCAATAAAGATATCCTCTTTCTTTAGTGAGAACTATTAACACCAACACTTACTGTTTCGGGAAGAAAAAAAAAAAGAAACACAGAAACATCAGAGAAATAATCCCTGTTCCTGTAAAGTAAGCAGTGTGCCACTAGAAGCCCTTTCATGAAAATTTTGTTGAACGCCTTCAGACACTGTTGTGAAAGGCAACAGTAACAGAAATAGCCATGTCTGAAAACTATGAATTCTGAATCATGTGGGGAAAAAAGTTTTCTTCTCTTTATCCACGTCTGTTGCAGCTTGGGCCAGGAAAGTCACTTTTTTAAGCAGAGCAAGTCCTGCATTTTGTAGGTTTGCTGACAGGTCACAGTTTACCATCACTGTGTTCTTATCACTTCCTACCAGCAAGGTGTGTGAATTCTTTCAACGAGTATAATCCAAGATTCCTTCCTTTACAACCCCACAAAATACAGGCTTTCTCTTAAGCAAAAGGCAAATTTCCTCTTTCAACAATGTCAGTGTTACCCTAAGAAACAGGATACTATAATGACTGAAAAGTCATAGTGTAAGCCCTGTATTAACAGCGTTTGGACTGCATCACTGACCTGCTGAAATCAATTTATGACAGACAGAAACAGTACTGCAGTTAAACATGTGCAGCAAGTTGTATGTGAAGCAGTTATTTTTGCTATATGGCTATCATACCTCTGTCATTTCTAATGCTTTATTGTAGCCCAGAGACAATAAAGTGACCCAAAGGTCACTAGGATCCCCTTCACGGTCATTGGCTTCCATGAGATTCAAATCCATAAATCCTTGTCTTGTTAGTTCATTCTTCTTCATATCAAAATTCTCTGTTTAAGAAGAAATATAAGGTAGCACTTAAATGTCTCTTCTCTCTGCAAACACCCTTTAACCTTCCAAAGCCAAACTCCCACTTCTGTTATGTCGTGGTTTAACCTGGCAGGCAGCCAAATACCACGCAGCCGCTCACTCACTCCCCCCCCCACAGTGGGACGGGGAGAGAATCGCAGCGGTTAAGAGTGAAAAAAACTCGTGAGCTGAGATAAAGACAGTTTAATAAAACAGAAAAGGGAGAATAATAATGATAATGATAAAATATACAAAATAAGTGATGCACAATGCAATTGCTCACCACCCGTGCTGACCGATAACCAGGTAGCGATCGGTACTTCCTGGATCACGCCTACCATTCATATACTGAGCGTGATGTCCCATGGTATGGAATGCCCCATTAGCCAGCTGAGCTGGCTGGCCTGATTATGTTCCCTCCCATCTTGTGTACCTAGCTCAGTCAGTAGGCATGGGAGCTGTCCTTGAACTAGGAGGGTACTTAGCAACAACCGAAAACATCAGTGTGTTATCAACATTCTCCTCATACTAAATCCAAAACACAGCACTAGCAAGAAATTTAACCCTATCCCAGCTGAAACCAGGACATGTTAACAAGGTTTACAAGATGGAGCCATCTCGCAGCCTCAGGCTCTCCAATATTATTTGGGAAAGAATGTCCTTGACCAGATACATGCTTTTTGCAGAGCTTCCCCGTGGATTTTAGACAATGACTAGAAACAGCTGGCCCCTTGTATAACCCAAAAGAGGGCGCGATTTCAAAACAGAAAGAGTTCATATTGATTCTTTTTTTCTTTTTGCTAGCAGTTTGTTGTGGTTGAGATTTGCAGAATGGGGTATATTAGGAATGGGAAATGAAAGTCTGCTGGGGCCAGCACCCTTAGTGCTTGAGGTCCTTGATACAGAAATGATTTACTTAGTTCCTAAAAAGCAATAAAATGCCAGTAATCCTAACACCCCTCTCTTGATAGAACATCATAGATCGACCACTCTAATGTCAGCAAACACATAATTGAAATGTCCTTGTGTCAGAGATTTTTAAAAATGGTTTTCTCATCTTCATAACAATGCTAAATCTTTGCTATATATTATTAAAAAGGGATTACCAATTTAATAAATCTATCTAAGGGTACAGATGCTATAATAAATGGCTTGAACTTTGGTGTTAAGATTTATGATATTCGTCTGAACCCTTCAACTGATTAATGACCTGGTAAAACATTCACCGTATTCTCTTCTTTCCTCTCTTATACACTTCACACACACATACACCCCTCCTGCTCATGTTGAGACCAGTGCACAGAGGCATAACACTGACAAAGTCATAAAGTGCATGTACAGGCATGAAAGGGACAAGAAACTCATATATAGAAAAGTATTTTTGTATGAGCTTTCCATCATTTAAGAAAAAGTCCAATATCTTAGAGTGTTTTAGGGAGAAATAGTTAGCAGTACTTGCCAGATTTAAAGTATTTTGGCACAAATTAAGCAATGTGTCATAGCCTACAAAGGAATTATATCAAACATGACATGGGCCGATATATAATGATATGCCATACTGGCATGTTGGACACGAGTTGCAGAAAAACTATATTTCTTACAGAAACTTCTAATTTTCATACAATGGCTTCTAAATTTCCAGTTTGTTCGCTCACTGCAGCTAAACTGCCAATGCTTTGAAACCACTGCTTTCATGCACTATATTACTAGAGCAGCCTACAGTCACTGGTGGTTGTATTCTCCTAGCCCTGTTATGAGGTAAATACGTGCATTCTCAAGGCCTTTGCAAGCTTAAAGCAATGCCACAGAATTGACATTTGTGGCCCAACACTACTCCTGCAAGCTGGCAAGACATCCAGTAGCATTGATGAGACATATAAGTACAACTGGAAGAGTGTTAACTGTCAGCTTCCTCGTCTCACTCATGGAAGTTTCAGAATCTCATGGCTGTCATATAGCACAATAGGGACAAACTGACAAACCATATATGAACCTTCAAAAGATTCAGATTTTTAATGAAAAACTGCTTACATCCAAAGAAAATATATAGTTGCAATAGGCATTTTCTAATATCTAATTTTCTAATATCTAATTTTCTAAACATCATAAGATCTAGATGCCATTTTTAAAGCATCATATACACACTAATTAAATGTCCCTCTCAACACTTTGTGAGATATGAAAGCAGTATCAGCTTAATCTGCAGAAAGGAGATTGATTAAATGAATACCTGTTACAGCTTAATTCGCCATATGATTCATGATTAGAAAATCTGTAGTTTTGGGCAGCTATAAAATCTTTCACCTACAAAACTTTGCAATTAACAATGGGAAGAATTTTCTCAGCAGAAGGCCAGTGGCACACAAACCAGAATGAAGAAAAACAAAAGACAGGAAACTGGAAAAGGAAAAAAAAGAAAAACGAAGGGAGAAGAGAATGGTATCTACATGTGTTCTTGGTATAGGCTACAAAATACTCAGTTCTTCTTTACTATATACATAGTAGGATGCTATAAACAACAGCTTGCAAGTAGATTGATAGCTCTAGTTGGTTGTATCAAGCACAACAACGAACTTACCCTTACATACAGCCCATGCTTCCTCATCACATTTCTCACCACTTGTTCTCAGTTCAAAGAAATTGTATTCCTCCAAACTCAGAAGGCCATTTCCATCCAAATCTATTGTTTCAAATATATCCAATAAAGCGGCTCTAAAAGATTAAAAAGGCAGAACTATTTCCAAATACTTCTGTTTCCTTTACTGTCATAATAATACAGTTTACAATACTGGTTACAATAATATTATCAATAACTATTCAGTCTATTAGAGAATATTCTGTACAAACAGTATTTTAGTAACATACAGCTTTTAAAAAGCTAGATGTTATTTGGAGAACACACTTTTGCAATAGTTACCGTGCCTATTTGGGAATATGACTCACCGGAACTCTTTGGTCAGAGCCAGTTCGCCATCTTCACCTCTATACACCAGTTTTGCTTCTCCAGTAATTTGTGGTTTTACCTTCTTCAACCTACAGCCTGTTGTGAATGGGAGTAGCCAGTAAATGCCTGATCCAAGCTCCCCTTTCCATCCAAACATCTACTCTTAAAGGAAGACAAGTTTGTAAGTTATTCTCAAATGATACCTTTATTTGTTACTATTAATGTTCATACAAAAGTCATTAATTACTTGAAAACACTGGTAATGCTAGGTTCTTTCCTTAAAGAAAACATGTCTACAGTGAGATGCTGTGTGATGCCATTTTAAAGACACAAAAACTAGTGAATCTCTTAGTTATAATAAAAGTTAGAGAAATGTACAGGACAGAAAAATGAGGGGACACCAGTCATTACTGGAAACGTCTAATGACAGTCCTATCATTTTTCAGATTTGTAACACTCTTTAATTGTTAAACTTTAAAACAAAAGCAGCCAGAAGCAGGCTGACAAAACCCACCGAGTTTTAATTTCCTCTCCGATTTATCAGCTTTGTTCAAACTAGCAACTATCTATGTACAAAACTTTCTACGTAAAACATCACAAGTGACTTAGGGTTTGAGAAGCAAGCCAAGTTCCCTGTGGCTTGGAAGGGTGAAGTAACTTAACGCTGCCATTTCTCCTCCCTTATTTCTGCCATAGGGTAAGACTATTCTGTGCACTATGAAGTTCAAAATCATATATATGGCAAGAAGAAAGAAAATTAAAAGAAATTTTAAGAAATTTTACCTTTGAACTTGTGTTTTTCAATGTGCAGGAATACAAGTGAGTTTCCACAGAGTATCTATACAGATAACCAGCAACTCAGCAATACTTGCCAACACATCACATGATAATATGGTCCTCACAGGAATTTAATTAAACTTCTGTACAAGTGGCTTGCAATTCAGCCCATCCAAAGGGCATAACCAAGACAGTATTACATCTTACCTTGTGTAAGTTCTGTCAATTTTGAAAGGGAACATGCACAGAACAAGTGTTTCTTCTCTCCTCTAGTCTGATTATGTACAGTTTGAATTCCCTCCAAACACTGGGAACTCACCCATGCAGCATTAACACATACACTAAAGACATAACAATTCAAATAGGAATGCAACAAAAATATCTAACCTCTTTGTTTTGTTGTTCAGTAAAGCTCACAAGCTGTAGATTTTCTTGGGTTTCGTTTTCCTTCAGAATATATAAAGCTGTATCCACCGACAACCAATGACAAGATTTTCCTAAAAAGAAAAACATCCCCAACACAAATGCTTAATAATGGCACAAAATTGTTTTTTTTTTAACTCCAAAGTAGATATTTCCATGGTACTTATAATATTGATCCCTGTTAATGTAAGATGGAAAAAAAGAATCCATTATATGCTTTCAGGATTTCCTTCCTATTTAGGTCGATCAGATAAATTGTTCCAAGTCTTGTGATTATCTTACAGATAATTATTACAATTAATAGTTCTGTATTAAAACCTTTGGTAGTTAAGGAAGCTATTTTCATTGTTTTCTACCATTAGTACAACATTATTATTTATTACTTTTCTTTATACTAAGGCTCCTAGATATTTGCAATTAAGGATGTTAGCAAAACTGTATCATATTCTCTTCTGAAGTTCTGTAAAATATTGTTAAACTCACCTTGACTGGAAACCCGGATTACGTGCAAAAGCTAGGGATACCAGAAGATGTAAATCTCAGAAGTATAAGTTTCAATTATTTTTAAGATTGAAATAGCAAGCTCCCTCTACATAGCATCACTAGTTGTTCTTTGTTTGTCTTAGGTTGGATTGGAATGGAGGCCCGGTCTTACCTATGTTGAATGGATGCCGTTTGAACCTCTCTGGTTTCTTGTAGCTGCTCAGTTCCTGAGCAATCGATCAATGAGCTATTTAGTGGTCTTCAAGTTAATCAGACCACAGCAAAACAATGCATGCAGGGGCTTAGTTTTTCTACAGTTAGGAGTCAAGAATACTAAAGAGTGGCTACAGACCACACAACTTTCTTAAAAATTTGAACGTATTTTTGATTTCTAAAAAAAGGTAATTGCTCTGCTAACATGAATCCTTTCCTTACGTTCTAGTATTATGCCTTCCTCTTCACAACAAAACACAAAGATATTTCTATATACAGGGCAATAATGTTGTGCAAAAGTAGAATTTTTTTTTTACAAAAGACAAGAAAGTACTCTTTTGGTTACACAGAATGTCTGGACAATCCTGCAGCAGAACTATTCCAAGGCACAGTTTAAGAGGGTGCCACATGAAGAAAGAAAAGTTAGAAGCAGAACACTGAGACATTCAGTTATTCGAATCTGTTAGTATCAGACCATGTTTCCTCACCATCAGAAGTCTGTTGATCAGCTTCCCATTTCAGCCAGGTAGTAATTGGAAAATGACTACTTTCTATCAATTATTTGCAGTGAAGTTTTTATTACCAATGTCAATCGGAATCAATTACCAACCTGTAGCACAACAGCCAGTCCAGATGACTCTAAAACACCTTTGGGATCTAATGGCTCCTGTTTCACAGGATTAAAGAGGAAATAATCTACTTGGGGAAAAAATAATTCCAACATAGCATAGATAAAGCTCCTTGGTAAATCACTGGAGAGAAACTAGCCAGTAGCATTTGGAAAAAAGGAGCACAAAGGCTGACTGATCTCAGGTGTCTCTAATGCTGGGCTTCACTCTTTTAAGATGAAAATTAAAATAGGCAAACTAAGCAATAAATCCCTCAGACAAGATTCATAATCAAAACATCAAGATACCGTACTGCCATAAAAAGCCATAACCTATTTTAAGTATTTACAAAAGTATTTGAGGTGGAGAATACAACATTCACTAAGTTTTGTATTGTTGTTTCCCACAAAGTACATTAATACCTTAAAGAGAGATACTGCAAACAGTGCTAACATTTGAATTTTGTAATAAGAAACTTCACAAATCTATGGCCAAAAATAATCTAAGAGGTTGGCTGACTAAAGGGAGAAAGATAATAGACTTAGCTGATTTTCATTGCCCAAGCAGTGAGCACAAAATGACTAAGAAGAAAATATGGTGTGACAAATTAAGTTATATTTTTAATAGGACTCTGTCAACAGGGAAAAGTATTGCTATACCACAATATCTCAAGTTATTGCAAGTGAGAAAGGCAGAGATATATCAGCAGAAGAGAAAATATTTTTTATAGAGGAAAATTCTCCAAAGAAATACAAACACACTTACCTTCTACCTGACGGACGTTTAAAGGCTTGATGGTAATACATACTGTAGACCTTTGAGGTAAGTGCAACTTGTACTTGTGACTAATGATTTCACCATCTTCTTCTAAGTAGAAGCATCCTTTGGATTGTGCACATTGCCATTCCTGGAAACCAAGCAAATATTAGATGTTGCCTTGATCAAGATAAAAGCGCCTTATCTGAAATATATTAATTTGATGATTTAATAAATCCTGCATAAAATACACCGCAAGATACAGCACTGATCTTCTACTTCTTTTAAAATTAATTTTCTCAAATAGTTCTTTTCGTAGTCAATTTTTGCAAAGCAGTTATGCTTCACTTGTGAAAATGCTTGAAAAACATACAGATTACCCCAATGCTCAAATAGTTGAAATGAAATTTGAATTGCCATGAAGAATCAGACTGAACTCATGAAATTTTCTGAACTGTGTCATTTACCACTGAAAGGTTGGAATTCTGCTACATTAGTTCCATCAGGCTAATCAAGCAAAGAACATAATTGATTGGCTGAGCAATGAGGAGTTACTTGTTCAGACAAATCACAAACACAAGTATTGGTCAAATTAAGTGATTCTTCTTGACTTCTGTCAAAGCTATTGGAAAGACATAAACTGAAAACTGCTGTATTTGTGAATAATACAGTTCCTAGAGAAGCCATGATTTTGCTGAGATGCTAAAACAGCTACATGCTTCACTTTTTTTTTTTTTTTTTAAAATAGCAGGTCCCAATTTTCAATTTCAGATATCATGTGAATGACATTTCTTTAGCAAAATAAAAATAAATTCCTTATAGACATATTGTATGCCTTGAGGAACGGAAGACATTCTTGATTTTCTTTCCCTGGTCTGGATTAAGTCCATGATTTCTAGTCACTTTCCTAGCAATGGAAGACAATGTTTCTGAGTGGAGCCTAGCAGAAGGAATCTTCCAGTGTAATCTCAGCAGAGAGCTCTGTCCAGGTGGCTGTAGCTATGCTTAGTGTTCAGTGTAACAGGTAAGCTGTTCTTGAGAAGAGAACTCGTAAAAAAAGAGGTCTGCATGCAACTCCCAGTAAGGAGGCTGACTACTAACTTCACCTAAAGTCAGTCTTCATCAGAGTGCTACATTTCATTTCTCCTCTTAAAGAATCAGTTCTCATTACAACACATCCACGCTCAGTACTTTACAGTCAATGACCTAAAGGTGTCAGGCAAGAACTGGACTTGGCTAGTGTATGTACACCCAGTATGCCAAGTAACACATTTGGTAATACATGTAGCTCTGATCCTGAATTTAGATTTCTCCATTCAGAACTCTACATTTCTTAAGAATATAAATTACGCAGGGATTCATGGATTTAAAAGCCTTCAGTCCTGTGCCACAATTTTGCCACTGATTTCTCTGGGAACAGGATCAACTCCTCTATACTAAGCATTTCTCATTCAAACATTACCAAATTCATCTCTGTTATACTCCTTTCTGCTTTAAGAACTTTTTATAAATTAATTGAAACAAAGAGAGAGATGTACTTTGAGCAAACCCACCACCTGTGTTGGCATAGGAAGACTGCAGAATCTAATACTATCGCTCCCTTCATTTTCTGCCTCTGAATCACTCTCATTTTATCAGTTTCACCCAAATAGCACAAACTCATCTAGGAAAAGAATCTTCACACTAAAGGAATAAATATATATCATCCTCAAAACATCAATGTGGATAAATACTGAGAATTCCAAATTTTACATAGCTGGAAACTACCTTAATCTCAAATTACAACAATACTATGGTAAGACTACCCTGTCCCATCCAAGATGTTGATCTAAAGGCACCAATTATTTCATCCTCAGTACCCCAATAGTTTTGGTAGCATAATACATCATACCAATTTTAGATGTCAAATTCTGCTAATTATATTTGCATACAGGAGTAATATGGAGTACTTTTAAGTACAAATACTATCTACTTTGCAACTCACTTTCTGCTGTTCTTTGGAGATTTGGGATTTTTAAAGAAACTTAAGACTTTGCTAAGGAAGTTCTAAGAGACTTTAAAAGTAAACATACTACCTCACAGCACAGGCTATCAAAAAGACAAAGAACAATTAAGCTATCTAAAAGAAAGTGGGACATCCAATCCCTGATGGAAACTAATATTCAAGTTCCTCCCCTCCCATAATCTCCCATAATCTTTTCCAGTTAAGATAACATGTTGGATCCAGGACCTTCGTGGAAACGTATCTTCTCTGCCATCAGAGATGCAGAGGAAACAGCATGCTGTTAGAGGAACAATGATCTCATCTCACCAGCTACATCCACACTGTGAAATAAAAGACAGCAAGAAGCAAGGTGAAGCATTCAACACCCTATCATCCATACTCTTAGCTGTTAGCTCATTCCATGGCTCTGTTTCAGATGACTACAACCAGCGCTTTTCAAGAAAATGTGTACGCAGTTCAAAGGATTTTTCATTTCAGGCACCACTTTCAAAAAGGAATATGGATGTAACTGCACTCGATTTGGCTTTCTGTCACCTACAGTCAACATCATCCCATCAGGTTTTACAACCTTGCACACTCCATGCCACGACCTACCCCACAGTTTGTAACAGGTATTCTCAGTTGGGATGCAGAGACATATGATTATGAACGGCACTGGAAAATATAATTTCTTAAACCCACAACACTATCACATGGGTTCTAGGAAAAAAAGCAAGCCAAGTGCCATTTAAAGTGGACACAACCTGCATGACAGGGTGCTAGGCCTAAGTCTTGTGGAAACGCAGCTACCTATGCTCCTTGGTTCACAGAGTCAGAGATCAGTCCCTGGCCACCTTTTATATAGCGGTATAGACCTAATTAACAAGGTCACCTAAAAATTTTATACCAATCTTTATCCATGAAACTAGATTTCCAATGATGGGATAAGCAAAAGGGGTCCAATCACAAAGAATAATTAGCAAAGAAGAGAACAGAAAGTTACCGGGACTTAATGATGAGGGTTAAAGGTTGAGCAAAAGATAGGGTTCTCTCAGTCAAACAAGTGGACAATGGGAGTTGATATTAACATTAGACTCAAGTCAGTGCTAGAATTCGAATATGTAGTTTTGTCTGTTAAATCATTCTAGTACTATTCCATTCTCAGTAAACTGTTTATTCCAATACTTGCATGATTCCTAACTTCGTCTAAAGTTCATATGCAGTAAATTGAGATTCTTCCTTAAAACTTGACACACCTGAGATAACCGGTTGTTAGCTCATTTAGTCTCTAAGCTTAATACCTTACAAAACTGTTTGAAAAATTAATGACATTTCAAAAAGATCTAAGTCAAAAGGTCTGCTAATGAAGTAACATGGTTGTTCTTTGAGACATAAAAGAGCATAACAGAAGTTTAAACAGCAGTCCAAATGTGCTATAACTATTCAAAAAGATACTGTGACAATTTTCATGTACAAAACAACCTACTCTAAAACTCAAACCTACTCAAAACAAAACAACGCTAACAACCACATTCTAGTCCCCCTTTCTCACTACGGCAGTGGTCGTCATCATCTCACAGATAGTCCACAGAGAGTAGCTTTGTCCTGTTTGTTTACCTTCCATTTTTCTAGCTTATATTTCAGATTGAAGACTACCTTTTTTGCAGTTTTGCAGTCAGATGGACATTGTTACAACAGGGACACCAAACAATCCAAGTAAGCAGGGAAAATATCTCAAGGAACAATGTGCAGGTTAAGATGTGAGCAACAGTAAGCAGAAGTTTGACAATGCTTTAGGAATACTAAACTGTTATTCTTGCAGAGGGCGTAAGGTGGTGCTATATTCTCTAAATTATCCATGTCAAATTACAAACAGGTATGTAAACTTGGGAAACTAGAAGATTATTTTTCTGGTTTGATTTTAATATGTCACTTCAATGCATACAAAAGTTGTCAAGTAATAGCTAACATAGTGGGAAATGTTTGTATTAAAAATGTTAATCATAAAGAAATGTTAGGGACTACCTGTTGCTGCCAGTGCTGGTCACTGCCCAAATAATGCATTCTATTGCTATTACAATTTAAGATATTATTGAATAGTCCACACACTCATGCATAATTCAAAATAAAAATTGTGAGAGGAATTGTTCCTATGATTAAAGCAAAGAACTTCAGTTCAATGCTTTGTCTTGTACAAACTTGTTCCATATGCACAGAAAAAGTCTTGCTAGTTCAATTGCATGAGGCTACTTCACTGATACAAGTGGGAGCGTATAACTCTTTCTTTCAGGAAAAGGACTTTTCTCAGGTATTTCTTTTGCTACACACTGTGTGTACAGGTCTTTCACTGGCTTCAGTAGAAGGTGAGAATCCCTAGCAGGGATAATTTAGCTACCCAACACAGAGAGAACACTTTAGAATATGAGACACTGCTTTCTTTTTTTGTTAATGTCTTTCAATCTTGACTAAAACAGACAAGAAGAATATTTTGCAGAAATTTAAGATCTCCATTAGCCATGCTTTAATTAATTGTGATTCAACTGCAGTTGAAGCCGAACAGGTCAGCATGTTGTTTATGCACATCTGCAGCACTTCTGTAACTGTCTATTTTTTTCTCCCCAAAGTTATATACATGGCTTTGAACATATCACAAAACTCCACTGACAAAAAGAAAACACATGGAAGAATGTACTACAAATACATTCCATCTTTTCTAAGGGTTTTTAAATTTAGATGTTCACCATGTTTTGACTTCCAGAGTTTTCTTCTGTCAGAAATTTAAAGTTGGCATTGGTCCAACTTCATGATGGCAATATTTTTTTACTGTCCCAAAAAGACAGGTGAACTGCAGAAAAAAAAAATTCTGAATAGAAGATAAATAAGAAAAATTGTGGGGTGCTAGATTCTGATCCACAGCCCAAATGAATCACTGTGTATTTATTCATTGATTTTGACAGAGTTTGCATTGTGTCCTTAATAGTTAGAGTTAAAAAAAATTAGTAGTTGTACTTACACGTTTTCATGTTTATTGATTGATTTCAGTTTTTGTATGATGCTAATCAATAGTAATCAATATCTGCAGCTGCTTTTTTTCAGTCAGTTCTTACTAGCTGATACAAAGAAAGAGGAAACCAATATTGGGAAACTGTGCGATGGTTTTATATACTACATATCATGTTTGAACAAGGTGAAATTGCAGGTTAAATTGCATGGAGGTCCAGATACCTAAACAGACTGCAAAAAATTCCTCTGAGATTATGTTTTTAAATTTTAATATAGAACAAATGTCACTGTATAGCAATGTCGAAGATATAAAGGACTTCAGAGTTCAATAACAAATACAGAGTTGTTATTTGAAACAAAAATGTAACTCATGAGAACAATCAGTTCAGTTTTCTAGCAGCAGTTATACTATGTGGTCATAACCATTTTTTCCCTTTTACACAGGAGTCTCCAGGTGCACATTTTTAATGTATCTTAGCAGTTTCCAGTTAATGTTTTATATTTCTACAGCTATTATTTTCTGTTGAAAGAAAACTAGTAAAGGTTCAGTCAAGAAAGGGAAAACAAAGGAAAAAGATCAATATTAACACTCTACAAATATTGACTTAGCAAAGTGACTTTGTTGTCTTTCTCCCACAGGAATTTATATTGAATGAGTGATTTATTTAAAAGAAAATACTGATAGAACATATTAGTCTAACTAAAAATCTATATTTTCAGGCTACAGCATATATTTACAAATTAATGCCCAACAAACGGAATATGCTCACAGATCCGTTATTTATTTCCAATTACCTTTCATATAAAGGTTTATGATACACAATCTTTCAGACTACTAAAGCATTTAAAGTTCTCACCAACCTAATAAATTATTAAATTTTAAATTTCTCAAAAAGTCATTAAACATTTTATCCAACAGTGGTTTCATTTATAAAAAACACACTTCGTTCTATTAAACCTTCACACCTGAAAAATTATTTTCAATAACTAGATGTCAGCAAAACCAACAGTATATAAAAATGTTAATATGCATCAAGAAACCTCTCACTAGTTTATAGCTGCCCTTGACAAACTATTAATAAAACATAAGCTAAAAATCAGAGAAAAACGGTTTCTTATTTAAAATGCAATAACATATATGCCTAGAGGAAAACAGCATAATTTCAATAAGACTAGCTTACATAATACCTTTATTGTGTCTGGCTCAATTAGCTTTGTGTTTCTGTTGCTACTGGCACCCATGCTGATAGTGGTAGAAATGGATGCTTTGCAACTTTGCGCTGATGAGGGTCTTGAAGGAGTTCTGCTATCACCTATAAACATAGATATTTAGTTACAATTACATTATTTCAACCCACTCCTAGCGCTATTCATCATAAAGCCTTACATTTATAGGCACACAGAGAAAAAATGGATGACAAAAGCCTCAGTCAGATAACCTGACTTCCCTTATAATTATTTAACATTTCATAATTCATTACCTAAACATTTTTACTTCCCTGACTGTCCATCCATGGGCATATGAATGGCAGAACCTTGGAATCCAAATCTGCCAGAAGGACAAGAAATTGCTACTACATGATTCCACTTACCTTGGAATCAAAGTAAATCTATCCTAAGTGGATAGATTTGACCTGCTTCTAATTTAAGGTTATTTCTTTCCAGGACAATGCAGTTTCCCTGCCAGATAGCACATCACTTATGCACAGCTGCTCAATGCAATTACTTCCAAGACTTTACTTTCTGGTTCCTGATGTTGGGGCAACTCTGCTGGTACAATTGTTGATTTAGCTACATAAACTCAGTCTTCATCACTGTTCTGTCACCTTTGCGCCTCTTCAGTGTTGCCTAGAATTGAAGCAACTTAAACAGCGCACACTGTATGCAAATGCAAGTATTTCACACATGGTTCCTTTGCAGTCTGTTAGCCTGTGGTCTTTTTCCAGTTTGGGAAGGTTTTTAAGTATGAGGAATAACATTAAACTCTCATATTGATTGTGCTTGAAAAGTGGCCTCGATAATTGAAACAAACAGACTGCTTATTGATAAATGTTTAAGGTTTCATCTGCGACCTGGGAAGGAAATAACTAACTTGTCTATGTTGCAACATATGAGCATTCATTTTCTCTCCTCCCTCTGGACTGTGTCACATGAGAGTCAACAAAATTCACCCTTAAGAATTTGAGAACTTCAGATCATAGATGCAGCCAAAGTCCATTTGAACATGGCGGTCAGATATTCTACTGAGACATTTATGCGATTGCCACAGTAGAAATTAGTATTAGTCAATAACATCCTCGCTAATCTGAGAAAAATTAAACAAATACTCAACTGTTCATTGACCCAGAGCATGATCTCCAACAGAATGAGAACTCCCAATATGAAATATAAATACCTTTTGTTGGTGCTAGTTTGTGATCAGTTCTCCTCGAGACTCTTGGTGATGGTTTTGACACTGGCAGTGTGATCCCTTCAGAGGAAGTTTCAGCTTGACTTCCAAACTGCTGTTGCCTCAATCGACTATCAACTTCCAGTTTCTCTCGTGCAGTCTTGCAGCACTGCTCACTGGTTGTCATGTATAAGTCACAAAACTTTAGATAAAGAAAAGTAATCTATTAAGTGAAACATTCTTTCTCACAGTTTTAAGGATTAAAATGTAACATTAGTAAGGAAAGGACAGGTCAAGAGATATAATGCATTTTCTCTTAAAGTACAATATTAATTTTAATTTTCATGAATCAGATTGACCACTCAAGTGAGACAGTAAAATGGAGCCATGATTCAACAAGGAGGTCCAAATATTGAATAAAAATTAATTTCAACCCAAGAGGTGATTTGTATTTCTTTCTAGATATTTGAAGACTGATTTTTTTTTTTTTAAACACAAGATTCTTTATAGGGGGTTGTTTTTCTCTATAAAGAAAATATTTATGTACAAATCTTTTCGTGGACTGTTTATTCAGTTCAAAACTTAGTCATTGCTTAGAGATGATGTCAAAAAACCTGATGTTGCATCTTGAAAATAAGATATTCAACATATAATGTCCCCCACACAAGAAATTATGAAATGTCACAGACATAGCAACTCTCACTGATTAGCTAAGTTTGCTGTCAATTGTCACCTTTATTTTGCCATTCCTTTAACTCTTACCTTCACACATGCTGTTAGGCTTCGTGTTTACTATTAGGCTCTGCCTAATACATTAAGTTCACTTGCAGCAAGTGACCTTTTCAAGTTTATAGCCAGATAAAGTGAGTGAAACGGAAATATATGCCAGCCCATGTTCCAGTACATAGGCAGTTGCAGGGGGCCTGGGGTAAGGTCATCAACAGACCAACACATGGAAGTGGTAGGTATTGTGTTTGACAATGCTAATACTGTCAATAAATCAAGCCAGTAACACAAGAACAAATATCATTCTGTTTGCCATACCTTGTTGTAGTCAAGTTTGCCACTGCAGTTAAAATCAGCTTGTTTAGTAATGGTACTCACTTCATCCCACGTCATTTTTTCACCTCTCTGCAATAAAAAAAAAACAATTCAATTTGGGTTCCTAATCAAGAATGCTGTCCACCTACAGTTTTAATAAAAACACAAAGAAAGATTCTTTTAATATCCTTTCAGGGAATCTTATCTTGCTATAGATTTAAATGGATTTTGATTTGAATCATCAAAATAGAGGTCAACATTGTAAAAAATTATGTTCCTGCAGTGCTATTAAATACTGAACAGATGAATTGCATCTGTTTATGCAATTTTGTGGTGTCTTCTGGAAACCTACCATGGCAGACACTTGCATGAATTTCAGAAAATCTTCCATAAACTGGGGAATCCCAGCTCTCAGTCATTCTTACTTATATTGTAGCATGCCAACAACCAAGAGCTAACTTCATAATGTTTAGTTTCACTTATTTACTTGAGCTATCCTATTATACCAGTCTACATCTGCAATTTAGTTCACTAGAAGAGTTATTCCAGGCATGAATTTGCCTTGCACCTATGTCTACTTGGAATCATCAGTGTGAAGCCAAAGCATTTTCTCTCCTTTTGGAACCAAGTCTGAAGTCGCATGTCAGAATACTATCTCAAGTGCCCCACTTGCAATGTGGACACAAGGTACATCTCTCAGGAAGAAAGCATGTCTTCCACAAGGTCCTCCAGCAATTTCCTCTACACAGATTCACAGGGCTGTTAGCAATGACAGAACAATATATGACTGCTGTACAGAAATCTACTTCACATCACTTTTCAGCTACAGATTCATGGTGTAAACTTGGGACTGAAAACTAACGCGAACTTCATTGTTGGTAAACACGTGATGCGGACATATGGTCCCGGAGCCATAGTGGATTGCAACAAATCAAATTCTGATCCTCCCCTCTTCGAACAGCACCAGTTGCTACTGCAAGCACATCTAGTAAGTTCTTCAGTCTGGGTCTATATGAAGCAACGCCCTAACTTTTTGAAACAATACAGAGTTTGTAACTCTTCATGGCATAACTACAGTAGCGCTCAACATCTGTTACTTCTATCTTTCCTTATATAAAGAGTATTTCCTTACCGTTGCAACTATATGTTTTTGTTCATGCAGAATGAGGATTGAATGGTCTGCCACAATGTTTGAAGTAAACAAATAATTTTGTTTTATTGGGTCAACCACAACAAATATAGTATGTAAATTGTTTGTTCCTTCTGTCCCAGTTTGCTCTCCTCCACACTTTCTTAAAATTGTTTTCTTCTCACTTTTGAGCACTCTACTAGAATTCTACTACTAGTCCATTTTTAATTGTTACTGCTCTCTAGTGTTTGTGCCATGCAAGATGATTGGCTTTTACAATGAAGGGGTTTTTTTTGGCTGTACAGAGCAAAAAAACTGACAGAACAAAGAAAGAAAATCATTGCAATTATCTGTGATGTACATCTATGTAGTTTAAAGTCAGAGCATCAGCTCTACACCGACTTGGAAGACTGTTCTGTTTCAGGCGTTTTGTTTGCTTGCTTTGCAGATCCTCAGAGGACCTGGATTTTAATCTTGTCAACACTCGTCATTCTAATATACTCTTGCTAATGTTTTGTTTAAAGTTCCGTCTCCTACAATCTCACATCATCATAAAAATCGCAGCTGCTATTTTAAAAAAATCCTTTTCTATTCTTTCAGATTATACAATGAAACCTAAAAATGTAGTGGCAGTTCAGCAGCTAAATAAGAAGTTCCAGATATTTTTTAATGTCATTATTTTAAGCCATATTAATGACACGTGCAGGTAAGCCTTATGACATTTGCATGCTTTGGGTTGATAATGCATGATCTCTAACCAAAGTATTGACAGTTTACTTTAAGACCTCGATGAACTGACTATAAGATCCAGTGAAGTCACTGGCGTGACAGGACATCATAGCTGTGATAAAACTAAAGCCTTGACCTTAAAATTTTATGTATAACATAAAAGTATTATTTTTTAACTTTGCATCTGAACATACTTAGACAACAACTTGTGAGGGGAGAACAGCAAAGGTATGTCGTCATTAATTCTCTTGGTAAAAGTTCATAGCCCCAAAGGGCTGCAGAGGGGCTCTGTAGAGAATAGAGGGATTTGCACTAACTGAACCAAGGGAGACACATGCTTCCCTTTCTGTTTCTCCACTGTAGTATAGATAAGGTTTCAACAAAGCATCCTGTGAAAGTACGAAAAATATTTTTTCTGCCATCTTCCACCTTCAAGACACAATTGCTGAAAGGGACAGACAAGTTATCAACTGCAAGACTGTAAGGGGGAAAAAATGGAAGAAAGATCAGATAACCACAGAAAACTACACATAAAATTGCAAAAAAAACCCCAAAACCACCATGGATCAGTTATTGATTCTTTTGATCAGGAATATCTCTTTACACATTCAGAATAGTTTTACCATCTAATTTTCAAAATCTCTATTAATGGTTAAAAATAGATAATTGTCTACTGATACTTACCGTTGTAAGAATTTTATAAAGTTCATCATGTAAAATATATCCAGTGTTATCTGTGTCTATTTTTCCAAATGCTTCGAGCAGTTCAGTTTTTGTAGCTGGTTTTTCTTTTTTTAAAATAGTACAAAAATCATCAAAATTCAGTGTAGTCGTTTGTGATGTCCAATATTTATTAACTGTCTTCTGAGATGGATTTCTTCCAGCCTGTTGAAGTACTGAACAATAAAACACAATATTAACTATATATTCCAGCTGTTTTTTTGAGTTTTCTCAAAACATCCTTTACTCGCTTTCCCTGTTCAGACTTTTTTTTTTTTTAAGCCCAATCAATCCAAGGGAAAAGCGGGTCTGAAGGACAGTTTTTCTTATAGTCTCAGTCCTGTACTCTATTGATGCAGACTGACTGTGACCTTTCCCGCCTTGAATTCTGTGGTTTGTACCAGAGAGGTTCAAGCAGCCTGAGGGGCAGATGAGCTCACTCGCATATTCTTTTGAAAGGAGTCATGAAACACAACAACATCACAGGAAATATTTTGCTGAAAGCTTTCTTATGTGCACCGTTCTACTAAACTCAATGGGACATCTCCCTTAAATAAAGTTAACAGGTTCAAATCATTAATTAAGCAAAATATCCATGAATTCAAAGACAGTCTGCTCAAGTGACAAGTGTAAAATTCAGCCCAGTGTCTGTATCCCCTGCCTTAACATCAAGAACCTATAATTTGTAAGCTTGCACATTATCAGATCCTATTTCTATTCAGACCCACATAAGTATTTCCATTTACTTTGCAAAGAACTGAGATCTAGTGTAGAATTTATCTTAAGCAATCTTTTATGTCACATTTATACATTCGAACTTATCAATTCAAATTATGCAACATGAATTGCAAATGTAAAGGAAATATGATACCAGCAGACATACATTGCTAAAGCCTACAGCCAATACCATACATGCAACCAGTCCCATCTACACCTGCCATTCTTCAAAATGAAATTTGCCAGATCTAGTTAGCCTCTTAAAAGTCTTTACTGAAAACATCCTTTCATCAGTTTCCAGGGTGAAGAAGGCATTATGTTAAACTGAAATTAAATTCTAATGCACAGACTATCTGAAACTGGAGAGATGCTTTTATATCCTTCCACATAATCAAGTTTTTTAGGGAAATGCAAAAGATCTTTCATCTTTGCCTAGGCTGGCAGTTTGATTTTTAGCCAGCTGACCAAGTCTATACTGGCTGAGAGCAGTTCAGTAGCATCTGTGAAATGAGGTGGTGGCATCATTACAATTCTCAGTAGGCAACTGTGTCACCAGAAAAACAAACAAACAAAACCAGACACCTTTGTTGCTAATCTCCGATTGAATGCCAAGGACTAAATAAAGATTTCTGCCCTGTCACCTCTACAAGCGGAGTCAGGAGAATACAGCAGTGCTTACATCTTTATCCATGCAATGCTTGGGCACATAGCAATTGTTTAAGGATTTCAATGTCAAGGTCAGCCAAGGAAGGGCAGTTACTCTGTGTATTTTTTTACGTGGAGAGCCGAGTTCCCTGGAATGTCAATATAGCACAGTATTCACTTACATTTAACAGAGTATCCTTCAAATATACAACAATTCTGTATTTTTACATATCCTGGGAGATCAGCACTTGCCATACCCTATGTGCCTCCCAAGTTTGTATTTTTGAAAGTTCAATTAGACTGCACCTTTTATTTATACTTCTTTACAGACTGATTCTGCTAAATACCTTAAGTAATATTACACCACAGGAAATGAAACTACTATCCATGAGTAAGTAAAACTCCTACGAATAAAATTTCGCAGGGCCAATCTCTAAGTGAAAATTTCACAGTTTAGAATATTAGCCAAACATCATGCAGCAAGAGATGCTTAAACACTGGCACTACTCATTTGATAAATGCCAGAATTTACTTAACATGCAACATAAGTCTATAATAACTCTCAATACTTACAAATTTTTAAAGAAGTTCTTAAATGTCTCTGAAAAGACTGCAAGCCTGAGCAACTAATTGCCCTTTCTGAGTTGACCTTGAAATCAAAATGCCCAAACACTTGCTATGTAGCGAAACGGCATATGGATAGAGATGAAAGCCAAAGCATATATAAAAGAGATGACATTTGTTCACACCACTCCTATCTTAAAATCCAGATTATCCAAAACTATCATTAGGATGTTATAAAAGCACTTTTATTACAGCTGAGAAAGCCTGGATAACACTAAGTCACATGCTGAAAGAATGTGCTTGCTAATGGGTAGAATTTCGTATACTGGTATAGGTAAAGAAGCTACAAACAATCAGTGCAACAGAGAACTACACTCAGCTTCTGTACTAGTGATTTCCGCATGCAGACCTCACGTATTTTAGGCACGGGCAATGCAGCCATTAGTGAGAAATATTTCTTCACACACACACAAAAAATACAGCCTTTAGCTGTTGCTTGGGTTTTTTTATTACAAACGACTGCAATGCCATAATACACATACCTTTTACTGGCATCATAATCTATGAGGAGGACTTGAGAAAGCAACCTGTACTACCACCAATCCCAAGTGCATTCTGAGCTGTACCCCAAAACCCACAAAATAAAAATCTTTTTTTTTTTAATGATACATTTCGGTTCTCTTTATCTAACTGAAGGTTTATGTTCTCATGCTTTCTTTGTCAACCATGTGAGCTGGAAACATTTTTCCTGATAAAGCAATCTAAGATTTTCACATCACGAATCTCCAAGTAGAAAATAGGACTGAAAGACACTTTCATGAGTTTCCTAAGCAATCCCATGCTATTACATACAACCACAAATAAACTTGGTCACAAAAGGACAAAAATGCTCTAAGGAAAAAAAACCCAAACAAAACCAAGCATGGTAAGACATAGTACACAATCCTACAACTCCAAGAGATAGCAAAGTTGGTATTACATTTGCTTGAGAAATTTTATCTGGGATAATGAAACCTATTTCACAACTGAAACAAGGTTATTACTCAGTGTTATCTTACTCCTTCCTTATCTTACTCGGTCATTAAGGTACATTATAAAGAAATCAATTTCCAATACACAGCCCTAACTACCCTTTTTCAGGTAAACTTTTGTAACTTTCCTAATAATTCCATGCAAGGAACTTTGAAATTCCATAGGTTTTCAAAACAAATGTTGTTAAGCTCCACAGCTTTCAGTATCTACTAACACCTTTATTTAGTACAGCTAAAGCATTCAGAGATTTTTTTTTCCTGTTGTGTCAATTGTGTATTGACAGCAATACCACTTATACACAAATATAATATGGATGAAAAAACGAAAACTTTTGATTTTAGTCTATGGGAACATTGTAATTCAGTAGGAGTTTAAATGAAATAAGAGTAAGAATTCTTATGAAACACCAGTGTCTGAAACAGTCCGTTTGATCACATAAAGTTGGTAGAGGAAAGGCAGCATTTTCATATATGACTCGAAGTGGCTTAGAACTGATCTGTGAGAGTACCTTTAGGGGTAAATTACCATATCCATGCCTCCAGTAACAACCTCTCCTATAAGTCTGCAAACCTCTGTGCCAATTAATGCCAGTTATCATGGTGATTTTCTGCGCCAGGGCAATTGCCCACTATAAACTGAACTGAGACCAACTCACTTAATCATTTGTCAGGGATAGGGAAAAACTTATTATAACAGAAATGTCATAATCAAAAAGCGGGCGCACCTCAAGTAAGCAACAATGCTACCATTGAATTTAGTGGTGTTGAACAACTCACTTAGGTCCCCTGTAAGCTAGTATTGACTTTTGCCCATTCATACTGGTGATTTACAGATGAAAAGCTCTGTATACTATTCCCACTTCCATGAGTCATCCAACACCTAGCCACAAAAATTAAGGATTTGAGGAAAATGAAAAACTTTGAGGATGGTAATTTCTATAAACTTTGAAAAATTACTCTGTGACATATTTTATAACAGGTAAATGATGAAAATGTCTTCAAAGATACAGCCACCAACACTTGAAATCTGAACCCTACCTAAATCTACTGTAAATTCCTTAAAACATTTACTGAGTTTATGCATTGGGATACTCTCACTACTGAATTGCTGACTGCTGTCAGAAACTACCCGCTGTAATCATCACATACAATAGTTATGGAGAAAAAATATCTAATCATTACCTAAACTGAGTTGTTCTTTTGATTTAATATTTTCTAAACTGCTTTTTAAAACAGTTAGATAAGCTGCTCGGCAGTTCATGTAAAAGATTGCTTCTTCTGCTTGCTGGGATTTCTTTGCTTGAGAACTTCCTGAGCGTGTGACTTTCTGAACAGAGAGGGATGCATTATTCTCAGCACTGCTGGCCATTCTGTGAAGAATACAATTACAGTTAGAATTTGTTACTGTCTTGCTTGTTTAATAATGCTTCTGCTTTGTCCTCTGAAACACAGACTAGCACAAATTATCCTAACATCTAGGTCATATGTTTTTCACTCTCTAAATCTGGGACGGGAATACTTATCTACGCTTGTATGTAAGCGCCATGAGATCCACAAACAAAAATAGCTTGAGTTCTACTTATTATTCACAATTTATTCTTTATTGGCAGTAAAAAATTTCATTTTATTGTATTTTATTTTAATTTCAGACATTTGATATCACATGATTATATAGTCATGTTATTTGAAAGCATAAAAACAAATTTTCAAGTGATCTGTGATATAAACCATTGCTACCCATGTGTAGAAACAAACCACTAGGACTTGTCCTTACTACACATTTCCACTAGAATTTCTACTCTTGCCATGTTAGCTAAATTCTCCTAATGACAGAAACAATGGGAGAATTTGTACAGAAGCACACCTGTTGGCTCTGATGACTTTACTACCACTGTCTATGCCTAGCATGATTTGTCACAATTGTAAATTAATCAACATACCATAACTACCACTGTTTTGCTCCCAGTGCCACTCTCATTGTTGTTACAGTTCACCAGCAGTAGCAAAGGTGGAGTGTTTTTAGGAAAAAAAAAAAGCCAATTTAAACATGGCCACAGGTGTGAGAGGCATAGAATTATTTAAAACACTTTTTCACCAAACAACAAGAACAAAGTAAATATTATCAAGAATGGATGCAGTGCTTAGCTCATTGGAGAGAGCTCTGTGGCTGCATGATCACAACTGACTCATGTCATGTCAGATTTGCTATTATATTTCTTGGTATTAACAGCAGAGTAAAAGCCTCCTTTGTCCTCCAGTGAAAACTACATGTGAGCATGTTTATATTGAACTGCATATTTGTCAGATTTCCTCCCTCACTCAAAAGTTGACTTTCATACTTCCAAGGCTGATTTAGCTGCAAAACTGGATAGCTTTACACAGCTTCAGCAGAGACACTGTGTAATGGCACAAACACCATATAACATTCAGTGTTAAAAAAGTGATATAATAATTATTAAATTGATTACATGCTTTTTTCTGGTGCCAACCCATACCAGAATGGGCTTTTTTTTTTTTTCTTCTGTTTTTACAGTTATAACTCAATAAAACGTATGGCTAATAGTAAAATTTGTGCAACTTAGGCCTTTTAAGTACAAGACTACCCATATAATTGTAAATGAATGGAAAAAAAAATGAAATGCATTTTTTCTAAATTATTAAAACGATTCAAAGCAGTAACTAATACTGCTTGCTCACCAATGGCCAGTAAACTTTAACAGCAGCTTTCTGCTTTTACCAAGGGTGATTAAGGTTTTTAGAAGGCCATCACAGAGGGACACTAAATCGTGTTGCACTGTTGGTCTAACAGCCTCCCATATTATTTTACCCAATGTTGTCTTCAGAAAATATATTCCAGTATAATAAATTGAATATCTCAAGTTCAGCAACAAGACAACAACATCATAGGGTCCCCTTCAGGACTCATTGGATTTTTACTCAGGAGGCCTAAATCACTCGCACCTTGTTGAGTTATATAGGTCTTTTACACTTGGGAAAGAAAGATAATAATCGCTTATCATGGATGAAGTACCCTATTTATAATACACAGACCGCCTGCCTGACACTTTAATATTACACTGGTATTAGAAGGACCCCACAGGGACACTGTGATACAGTCTGGTTACTGCAAACGGGTGTCACTATAATTAAGCACCAGTGTTACACACACAAAATGGAAGTGGGTTGAAGTCAAGGAGGAAAAGAAGAATAAATGTTAATTTTCCAGTAACTAGTTTATAAAATGTGAACTCTCGTTTATACTCCTTGGACTTCCCATTACCGAGATATTTCTTACGTGGGCCACAGTTCTGCCAAGAAGTGCTGCCAATACATTGCTCAGAAATCCAGTGAGCAATAGCTTAGTGACAGCACTGCCAGCAGCCCCATGGCTTAGGTTGTTAAATTTTTACTGGACAAATGACACTTTAGACAAAATAGACAGAGGGGAGCAATCCCGCCTCAGCTGAAGCGGGAGGACGACACAGCCTAACTATTACTTTCAATTTCAGTTGCTATGATTCTAATAAATAAAAACCGTCTTCCAACCAGCAACTAAGTCATACCCTTCTTGGCAATACTGACCTTTCCTGCCGCGGGTCCGAGGCCGAGGTCCACCTCCATCCACAGCAAACGCACTCCGGCAGGGAAGCTTCGCGCTGCTGCTTCGTCAGCTTCCGCGCCCAAGCGCTCAGGCCTCCCTCACCTGAAGGGAGGAAACTCTTTCACCGCAGGAATCTCATTACCTCCCTCTCCAGTGGGCGCAGGGGTCTTCTCGGGCAAAATTTACCATCCACCCTCCCGCAAAAGACATTACAATCCCCTTCCCCCAGCCCGTCAGATGGGAATCAACTCTCCCGCCCGTACGTCGGGGACCCTCGCCCTGCCCGGCGTCCCCAGCAGCCGAGGGGCCAGGTTTAGCCACAGCTCACCTCCCGCCCAAGCTGGCCTCGCACAAACCTTCCCGAGGGGAAAGGCC